ATAATAAATGAGTCCTATAAAAGAAAGGAAGCCACGATTCTTGTATGGAGTATTCGTGCTGATTTGGGAACGAACAAAGGAGATTGTAAGCGCTTTAAAAAATCTGCACAACAATAACAATGCCAACAACGATAAACACGAGTGTCCAGCAAATCGTTTGTGATTAACTGTATGCAATGAAACAGCATAATGGCGCTGGTGCGCTCCTGGGGTGGGTGAAATGCGAATGGAATGAATTTACACATTTTGAATAACAAAGCAGTTGGGGAGTGAAAATGTTTTTCCGCGCAACAAAAAAAAAAGCCTGTGAGAATAGCTGTTGAAAAGGATTGATGAATTGCTTTTAATGCGAGGTTAGAATAATAAAAGGAAAGTAAGTAATAAACACAAACCAATAAACTCATTACTACTTAAATGAGGGAAAATGTTTCAGCAGTAAGTTTATAGAATAACCAGTTATACAAATTACAAAAAAAATGTACGCCAGAAAATCTTGGAATGCGGCGCTTGGTGAGTACGAATTAAATGTGTTGGGATTGCAAACAAATAAGAAGCGATAAAAGTAAAAGCGAAAAAGACTGATTAAAAATCTCAAAGTTTGAAATTAAACAAAAAAACAAAAAACACCGAAACACGTAAACTTAATATTGGGTCGTAGATTATGGATCTGTATACAATTTTTCCAGATCAGGTCATTTTGGCAAGATATTTTCATTTTTCATGGAAAAATTCAATTTTTAAGAAGAAAAAAAATTGAACAAATAATTTTTAAGCAAAAGACAGAACCGTCTTCAATTCTCATATAAAATTTAAGATTATCGTTAATTTCTTCAGGATCCGATGATCGGATTTAAACCAAATTAATATGGGACCACCTGGGAGGTAACACCTTTCCTTTAAAAAAAGAAGTATAGGAATCGGTTGACGTGGTCCAAAGTTATGCGGTAACATACATAAAAAAATATATATATATTCTGACGAATTGATAACTTTTCTCCTTTTTGTGAAGTCGGCTAAAAATAACAAAACTTTGCAATTATTTTTTTCTGAAATAGGAGCAAGAAATACGTTTACTCTTACGTAGAGATGGGAAAAGGGTAAAAACCCAAATGGTAATACCCGGTAAAATGGGCAAATTGGGTAAAAATGGGTAAATACCTGGCTATTTAGGAAAAAGGTGGGTATAAACCATGTCATAGAAAATTTAGCGAACTAATTCATTGTTCTGCAAAAATTAAGGAATTTTATAATAAATTCTATCGATAAAAATGCATACACGGCAATTGAAATATAACAATTTAAGACTAGAACTATGTTTAATAGACATACTTATTTTTGCAACACGACATTATATTATATATAGAAAATCAAAATTTAGAATGAGATGTAGAATGAGTAAATATAATATTTTACAATGAACAGTTCTAAAATTGCGAAGTGAGTTTATTTGCAAAAACTCCGCGAAAAATGGCTAAAAAAAAACGTTAAAAATATTTTTCCATATTTACCCCCGACTAGTGTATTTATTTTGGTTTACCCACGAAGAGTATTTTCCCGGTATTTACCCGGTAGAAATCCATCTCTACCCATACATGGCGTATCGTTCATGGCCGACCTCTTACTTACTCCTACAAGGCGCATGAGTAACATTTTCCAAGTTAAAATTTGGATCTTTTTCATTCACAATGCCAACTTAAAATGAAAATATCTTGGGGAAAATTACCCGATCTAGAAAAACGGTATACAGATTCGTAATCAATGCCCCAAATTTATGCTTACGTGCCTCCTCGTTTTTTTTTATAATTTTAGCGTTCCTACCATGTATTTGGCGTGCGTCTTGATATTGTAACATAAATGGAGGGAAAGGGTAGAAATATAACTAGAAATAGTAGAAATATAATTACGAAGAACACCTAGCGAGGGTCAACCGCTTTTAGAAGACCATGAAACGAACTTGTGTTTTGCTGAGTACGAGCTTCTAAGTATATATGTACATACATACATATATGTACATATAGCCAAGAGAAAAATAATATAAACACGACATTTTCACCAGTTTTGACTACCTTTCTTTTGTTTGTTTAATGTTTTTTTTTTTTTTTTTATGCATCTCATTATCTAATAAAACCCATATAAGCCCAAATTTCAAATTAGGAAAATTAGAAAAATTCAACAGAGTTTTATAACAACAACAGCAAACTTTTTATTGAGAATTTGTAGAAAATTCTAAATATGAAATTTTATAGTTCTTTAAATTCTATAATAAAGTGCAAGTTTCAAGTGGATAAGCATTAAGCAAATTTTAAGGAAGAAGACTTCCTTACAAAGTTTGGTCCAGAATTCTTTTGTGTGCACAACACTATCAGCAAAAAAAAAGCTAAAAATCAACGGTAAGTCCTAGCTACTTCCAACTTGCACCTTAATATATTGAAATTTATTGGGCTACCTAGAGCTTCTGTTTTTAATTCGAAATAAAGAGATTGATGTTTTGATGAACATTTGCTGAAATTCAACGAATTTTTATAAATCTTGTGGAAAGTTTTAAATTTTCACTTTCATGGCTTTTGTTAGATAGTGACTTATATTTAGTAGAAAAATAATAAACAAAATCATGTCCAGTCTTACTGCAGTAGATTTCTACGCCTTTTGTTATTTTCAACCAACCCAATTGGATACGATTTTATAAAGTTTTTCCATGATAATTTAAGGTCGCCTAAATCCCTATCAAAAACAGGGTACTCATGAGTTTTGAATATTTTAACACTTTTCTGAAAAGTGATACAAAATTATCAATTTCATAACTGGGACCTAAGATACTCGTACAATATAGTGCTTATATACCCGTAGTTGTGTATGTAACGTATAAGCCCACACAAGGTCACCTTACACGTTTACTCGCATGCCTTAACATAAAAGTATATTACATATTTAAAAGTAATTAAATATTGGCATGGAATATTTTCCTACACTATTCTTCACGAATATTGTATACAACTATTAATATCTTCATGTACATATATATATAAAAATTTCAGAACGAATTTGCCAATAAACGAGAGTGCCAATAAAAATTGTAAAATTGGAATTTTTGTTTCGCAAATCATCGTCTTCTTATAATCAATGTATGTAGGTTTTTTTTTCATTTTGTGGCACACTAGTTTTTTTTACTCTAGATTGGTTCGTTTTGGCAAGAAAACATTTTCACCGTTTAATGTTGACATTTTGAAATATCGTAAACTTTTAAAATTAAAAAATCGTTAAATTTCAAAAATTACAAAATAGATGCGATATATATTCTGGATGCTGCCATTTTTTTTAATTTGGTGGCACAATCTTGAAAGTTCACAGAAAACTTACCAAAAAACAATTATGATTTTTTCAAGTGACAATGAAAAAATGAGTAATTTCGGTACTTTTTCGCCTAAATAACTGTTTTAGGGCTAAGGTTGTTCAAATACTTGCTTTGTTATGCTTTTTATTGTACTTGCAACTCTATTGATTGAAATAAATGCAAGAATAATGGTATAGTATTTTTTTTTCTGCCGAGACAAGGGAGTGATGGTAAAAAAACAACTCGTGAGATTTACTCATATACAAACCCATTTATTTATTGTTTATTTTATCGTAGGAGAGCTTCTCAAACAATGCATAAGCAGGTTTTTCGATTTAAGTTCTGGAAAGGTAATGAATATCTAAATCCCGGGACTAATCCCGAGATCCCGGGATTGTGATAACGACATCCAGAAAATCCGGGGATCGGAAAAAGCTGAAAAATTAACGTCCCTAATACATACATACATATATGTACACTATTCTACCAAAGAAAGGGTAAGTTTATTGCTTGCTTTCTTTATGGATGCTTTTAGAGAAAGTCAAGATATTCCCCTGATACAATTTTTTTTTGCTTTAAATTTCGAATTTTCCCAAATATCTACATATCCTTCACTCCCAATTAGTAGACTAAAGAATAGCTCGTATATTAGAGGAAATTTCAAAAAATTTACCTAAATTTATTCACGCGAACTCTGTGAAAAGCTGCATACAAAAAACTTGCTCTTAGGAGTCAACTGGGAGGGAAAAGCAGAGATATTTTTGTAGGTGCTTGCGCGTAGTATGCATATGTATGTATATGAACGAAAGGTAAAGCACGAAAAAACATTTATAAAAAAGTAAACATATACGGTGATTACAATAATCCATCAACCACCGAGAGATACACTCAACGCACACCTTTACCGCAATTTACAATCACTTTGCGGCACCTTTGCTAGTATTATCTCCATCACTTGTGTATGTAAAGGGGAAATTTCATTGCTTTTTACCTGTGTGTGTGTTTTATTATAATTTTTTTCTCTTTTTGAAACTCAACTATGCTACAGCGTTTGAGAGAAAATCTGTGAAAAACGAAACGAACGGTGAGCCAGATAAGCGCTGCTTGAGAAATTGCTTGAAACATGTGTTCCTTTGGAGGGAAAATTCGCTCAAATATGTTAATATAATCCACAATATGAATCGCTTTCGCTTTATGAGATTTCGTTTTACAAATGCCTGCCTAACAGTGTAGTGGAGCGTATTATTAACTTCGCTTTGCAAACAGAACGCACACTGATATGTGCACATATGTCTGCACACATTTGTATGTAGTTACATAAATGGAAGGCAATATTTACATAGGTACATAAGAGGATCTTATAGATTCTTCAATGCACGCCGCGCTTCCTCTCCGTTGCAAGCACTCATCTGTTCAAACACTTTATTCACAAGCAATTTTGTGGATTGCATGTAATGCCTCGATTTTCTTCGACTTTAGCAGGCGACACACATAAACACTACAACAACAATAATAATAAAATCAAAGAAAGCGGTGCTGTCTCATGCTTAATCGACCAACAAGAATAGGAAGCAAGTTTTCGCTCACTGTAACTATTGTGTTTTCTTTTCATATGTATTAGATATGTAAGTACTACATCCAAATCACGTTTGCCTTGCCAAATTTGTCAATAATCCGTTTGAAGAGCACATATTGTGCCACCTGTGTGTGTGCACCCCAACCCCACCCGCCCATCACCCCAACGCTTTGAACAATATCTCACCTGAATTCTCGTTCGGTGACTGCGACGAAAATTGGCTGCCATTTATCGTTTTCATCAGAACTCTCCGAGCTGGAACGTCCGCTTGGCTGTGGTGCATGGTACATGACCGTTGCGTGTTGCATGTTGCAATGTCACCACCATCATAAGAACAAATAAAAGCGAGAGGCAGACGAGGTAAAAGTAGCAGCATACCGGAAAAGAATTGTAAATAAAGCGATTTCATTAAAAAATACAATGATGTAAGAAGAAGAGAAAGCATAAAAACCGACAGAAACAAACAAAAAAGAAAGCCACTGAGCGCTTCAGCCTGCCAAGCAGCCAATCTGCCTGCCTTCTCTTGACCACTCACCAAATCTCCCGCGCCGCCTCCGCCACTAGCACTTGCACCACTGCCACCGCCACCACCACCGCTACCAGAACTTCCTCCGCCAGCACCTCCGCCCCCACTGGTACTGCCGCCACTCAGGCGTCTACTCAGCCAGCCGATGTGTTTCAGCTCCCCGATGACGTTCATCAGCGCGCGATTGGCATCGGTGAGGGCGCGCTGAGTGCTGCCACACATTGCTGAGTGCAGCGCATTGAACCAGATCAATGCCTCGGCGGAGTCGCAGGCGCGCAGAATGCACGAGTGCACACCGTCCGGTGAATGCAATTCGATGCAGCGGTTTTCTGCAAATAAACGAGAAAAATAAAAAAAGCTAAATAACAACAGTGGTAATCATGGAAATGGCAAACATTATTTAAGCGTAATAAAAGCGAAGATTAAAAAGGAAAGTAGCGATTAAAAGAATAATTCAACAGTCGAAAGCAGTTGAGGAGGAGAAGCTTAAGTAAGCAATTTTTGTGGACAATGTGAGGATGTGGATACATATAAATGTATAGTGAGTGGCGTAATTAAGGCAATGGATTCGAATTATCATAAGCGCTTTTTTTTATCAGCTTGCGCACGTGTACATAAATATATGTATACTAGCAGACCCGGCGAACTTCGTCCCTCCCAAAATTAGATTTTTAGTTTAAACATTTTGGTCCAACATTTTCTCCAACAGTCCACGTTTACGATTTCCATTGGCCAATTCATCGGCTAAGACTATGGTTTGGTGGTCGTTTGCCGCCTTCAATAACCGAACGAAAGTGTTATGTCCATGAAGAAAAATCAACAAACTTTCTTAAAAATTTCGAACTTTTTAATTCGATTTTTAAGAAATATTTTGAGTAAGCAGTTTTTTAGCCCATTCAATTATACTGCAAGTTTAAAGTAACAGATTTTTGGCAATTTTTTTTTTGTTGACCATGTTAGCCATTTTATTCCATACAAAACATTTTCAATAATTTTTTTGTTATATGGATAAAATGAGCAACACCTTCGACGAAATAAATTCCCAAAAATCAATGGTACTTGAAATTGGGCTACAAAACTGCATACTCAAAATATTTCTAAAAAATCTAAATAAAGACCTCGAAATTTTTACAAAGTTTGTTGATTTCTTTTTTAATTTTGTGCAAAGATTGAAACTTGGATTTATATGGTTTCTGTTAAGAATATGCTATACCTTTAAAAAACAATAATTAAAATTAAAGATTTTAAAATAAATGGTGAAATCTTGCCAATATGTGAGTGTCGTAAAGTTATGATAAGAACTATCTGTATGCATGTCGAATCAAACTTCTTGATACTACTTTTTGTCTATTTCCGCGGTGAATGTAGAAAATTTCACATTCAACTGTGTAACCAGAAATTTGTAGGGGGATAACAGTAAAATGCGTAGAAAAAGCTGCATAATATTTAGCTCGATCTCCGAGAAAGATTGCCGAAATATACATTACATAAACATTTTTGAGTTGAATTTTTACTTCCATACATATAAAATTAGGGAATATGATACGCTACAAAAGACGATATCAGTTTGGAATGAGAGTATAAAGTGTGGTCAGAACGATGAGCAAATGAGGTAACCGAGAAGCCATACCTAAAATCAGCAGCAGAAGTTCTTGGTAAATGGGACGACGAATATGCTTTTCCGTTGATTAACAAACTTCTCCGCACTCTGACTACACTTCTAGCTAGTAATGCTACTTAAGAAAGAGTTCCCCTTCGCCGGTTTCCATAGTACCATTAATGCTATAAACTAAGATTAGCCAATCAAATGTCAGTCGGCAGTTCATTTTAAATTCAGTTTACGTAATCTAAGTTAAAACTTCCACTGAAACTGGCACTTAGATATTGATATTGACACTGAACGGATAATACAAAGATTCCCAAAAGGAAAGCGCAAAATTGAGTTTGCAATTTACATTATTATAATCAAATTTCCGAATAAGTTGTTAAGTTACTTAATTACATCCCTCATTTGACAAACATTTTAAGCAAAAAACCAGTATTTATGTAATATACACAAATATGTACTGCTTTAATAAACCCAGAGCATAACTTTTTATCTTGTGCTTTTTTACAAAATAGTATAATTGTTTTATTACATGGGACTCTGTAAATGGACCTTGCGCCAAATTCACATCACGAAACTTACTTAAAGTAAAATTATATCACAAAACATTTTAATTCGGACTTCATAAAAATTACTAGAACCTCTATATGCGTGAAAAATAAATGAGTTTTCCAGCAGGTTGGATGCTTGTAGGTCATATAGCTTCGATTGGTCACTCCGCTGCGAATCAAGTTAGATGCCTGTAATTTAACGTTATTCGACAAGTCGATCCCAATCGCCCCTCCCCAAATAAAATCCTGTATCCGCCCTGCTCCTGTTAAGTTAAGAAACAAAGTTTTCTTCGGCCCAAGCCCTTTAATTTGACACCACACTTTTGAGAATCAAACAAACGGTGCGGATTAGGGGCATTTATTATTAAATACCTTGAGTCTAATTTGTTAACAGGTGGCGACCCTTTTCTTAAAAGTAAAACCTTACTACACATCTACAGTCAAAACCCTTTAATTTGACATCTCATTTGTGAACATCTGATCTGGACAAAAAATGCCTTCGCGTATTATAAATATAGATAATTTCATTTATTATTATGAAGAAAATTAGTACAACAAGATCTCAAAGATATTTTTAGTACAGCGGTAAATTAAAATTAAGATAAGAATAAGAGTTGAGAATAAAAAGTACGTAGTACGTCATGTCAAACATATGAGCGGTAAAATTATCTCATATATTAATACGCAAACATGATTTTTGTGGTACACTTTTTAGGTACTTAATCCCTATTGATTTCAAAAGAAAGAGGAGGTGGTGTAGATGTGCCGAGAGCCACTTTTAAAAAATATTAAAAAAAACTATTTAAATGAAACTCATATCAAATGAAAGATGAGTTGGTGTAGATGTGCCGAATTGAATTTCTAACCCTCTAAGAGCCACTTTGAACAAAATATTCAAAAACACCTATTTACAGGCCTGATTGGAACAAGTTCAGCCCGAATATCAGTTAGAGAAGAAACGTGACAACCACTTAACAATATTAGTGACCTAGATGAACAAGAGGTGCTGATGGACCTTAAAAACGTCACAAGCACAATAAAAAAGTGTATGAAATAAGTGATGTGGTCGAATTCCGACAACGGGGCGATACAAATTTTGATAAATCTTATTGTAATGCCGCCTTCGCCTATTCCATTAGACCGTGTTTTATTAATACGTTTTACTACATCAAACTCAGACAAAGCACTAAATTCAAACATTTGACCAACAGTAGGACGAGGACACGAAAATGAGAAGTTTGGGGCTAGTAAGCAAGGGGAAGAAGCACTATTCGCAAAGAAGCTATTTATAGTTTACATGTTAATTTTTTGCTGTGTTTCGACAAAAATAAATATGAATAAAATGGTTAAATATAAATTGCTATTAGATCAAAAATAACATAATATATAAGTCCTCATATCACAACAACTAGATATACAGGATGTCCTAGACCAGACCCTCTAAATTGGAGAGAAATATTTTATTGAGCTAAACTGACCGGAAGTACATTTTTTTAGAATTAGATACACTCGTAGTCAGATGATTAAGTTAAGTGACATTGTGACCAGTTTTGGTTGTTCTACTTTTTTTTATTTAACGTTTATAATTTTTTTTATAAAAGTGTAGCCCATTACATAACCAGAACCACATAAATCGACATTTCAAACTCCATACAAAGTTTATAAAAATTAAACATATTTTAACAATTACACTCAAGAATGTTGAACTTTTTATTAAAAAATTCTAAGTATGCAGTTTTATAATAATAATAATAGATTTACGCTTACACATATGTTAGTGTTTGGCCTTGATGTCGTCAGGAAAAGGGGAGGTACCTACAGTTTTACGTTTTTATGAGAAGCTGTTTTTTATGGCAGAAATACTCTCGGAGGTTTGCCATTTCCTGCCGAGGGGCGACCACTGTTAAGAAAAAACCTTTTCTCTACATTCTTTGCGATATTGCTTTGACCAGGGCTTGAACCCAGGCCCTGCGGAGTGAAAACGCGCACTGCTTACCACTACTCCACAGCGGCCGCCGTTTTATTGGAAAAATAATCAAAATTGGCATAAATTTCAGATTTATTCTAAAAATTTTCCACACATTGACAATATGCTCACAAAACCTCTTATTTCTTATAACAGTACAAATATTATCTTTTCAAAGGCCATATAAAAATTTAAAATTGGGTAAAAAACCGAGCTGAAAATTATTTAGTGCGGGAAGTCAAGTAAAGGTTTTATAAGAATAAGTAAGTTGAGAATTTGAGGGTGTTAAAAAAATTTTGAAAACAGTTTCGTGAATTACTCGAACAGCCCTACGACATGTACTAGGTCACCTAGTTCATGTTACAGTGTTACACCGTGTCTTTTTCTCCTGACGGTGCTAGACATTTTCCTTCATGTAAGAGCAATTGTCGAGCATAGTTTATTTGGGAGAAAATGCCCAAAAAGTACGTACCTTTGTCGGGAACTTTTTTCCGGTTTGGACCGCAAGTGGGTTAAACTGACCAGACGTCCATTTTTTTAAATAACGCGTGTATATTTTTACTACAGTTACGGATTCTAAGGATAAAATTACGTTACTTTTGTTTGAAACTTTTTTCTCGGAAGTGCCTTTTTCAATTCCTAAATAACCTTCGAGCCGTCGAAACCGGAAGTCGGTAATACGAATTCATATTTTTTCGAATAAAAACATTTTCCCTCATTTAAGAAGTTCAGGACGAGTTAAAGTTCGAATTTAATTTAGAGGTTGAAAAAGGTACTTCCGAGAATAAAGTTTCAAACCAAAGTTACGTTTCTATCCTTAATTCCGGGAGAAACCGGAATTCGGTAATACTACGAAAATATAGAGGATCCCCGATTTAGTAGGTCAAATTTTAGCGGTTTTCAATAAAAAACGTTTCCCTCTATTTTAGAGGGGGAGGACGGGTGGTCTAGGACACCCTGTATATTTTTTAGTTTTCACCTGAAACATTGCTGCTATCTTTTCATATAATAATCACTAGCTTCGCCTCCGAGCTGCATTATTTAGGCATTCAATATGCCATGCATTTTTAATAAAGTAATATCAAGCGAAAAAGTGCTAGAATTTTTTAATATGCAAGATTGCACCGCCACAGCTCCTTCATACGGCATGGTGTACCCAAATACCGACCAGCAAACAAAATACAGTTCATCATTGATGAGCAAAAA